AAGTTCCAAAACATTTGTTTTTGATCATTCCACAAACTTCCTGTCCCAACTTTTCTGGAATGGGTTATATCATCAAATTTGGAGTATAAATACCTGTAGAAGACACTGGTTTCCATTTTTAGTTGCGTTTTATCCAGTGTACCAATGCTTTTGGAACTGGGTTTGTATTTCATTACACTACATTTATTTCAGATCCATATCAACACATTTCTGTTGAGAGTAAAATAAGTTTATTCCTACAAGCTTGCAGTGGCAGTGGGGGTCATCTCAGAGATTACACTATTGATTGCTTTGCCAGTGCAGAAATTATCCTGTAAAACAGTGTGTGAATCCGTTTACTGACACACTTTTCTCTTCCCTTTTTCCTCAGTTCAGTTTTCAGTTCAGCTCAGCTCAATACTCCTGTGCTCAGATATAGACCAAGAGGACTTACATGGTAGGGAAAAGTATCACTCTGACTGATTACACTGCCACAGTTCGCATATCTACTTTACTACTACTGTGATTCGAGTTTGTTCTGTCCCCGAGGCTTTTGAGAGATCAGTGACAGATTTGTTGATACACTCTCTTACTGGTACACAGAGAGAGCGTTCAATGAAAAATGCAGCCCTGCCAACACGTTTATCCAATTCAACTAGTCAGAAATCAAGCTGAGCAATAGCACACAGTGTTTCATTGATCATAATACTAGATTTGATACTCAAGAATCCTGAAGAACAAGTTGTGCAGGAATGTGTTTGACTGTCACACTCGTGTTGCTGCTCTGCGAAAACGTGACATGACCAAAGAATATGAAAGCTAAACATACACAGTGAGTGAGTGAAGTAATGATCCTGCTGGATGATTTACCTGAGATAGTACTCAGCTCTCACTCATGTTTGAGTTTGTTTCCTCTGCGCCGATCAGAATGAAGCTGTGTTTGGTCCTCGTCTGGTCAGTTCTTCTCTCCACAGAGGCTAAAAGTGAGTAAGAGTGAATTTCAGTATTTAATCATGAGCTGAACTGCTGGACTGTAATTGTTGTATTGCTTGTGTAAAACCTGTAGATTCAGGCTTATAAATCATTCTGTGTAAATGGCTCCACGTGCTGCTTCCACACACTGTCCACTAACTCTGTGGATTAATGGCCATGTTTAGTGTGTAAGTGTTTGGTACATGCAGGCTTCTCCCTTTTTGTCCCAGTTAATGGTCTGGTGGTCTGTAGTCCAGGAGAAAGTCAGTGCAGCCTTTCCTCTGCAGTGCACAGATTTAGTCATCACTTTGTACCATTTCACTTCAGCTGAGCTTGTTTACCACTGTGCTGTGGCTCCATGTGAAACTACAACATATAGGAATCAAGTGCTCTACAATTTTTTATTTTTTTTATTTTTTTTTGGACTGCTCTGCTGCATTACTTGAAACTGTGGTTCACAGTTAAAAAAAAGTATTCAGACTTAGATATTTAAAAGGTTTATGTTATGATATATGTAAACCCAGGTTATTAGTAGAGATATTAATAAGCAAAATGTATACAATATCATCATTTATAGGGTATTTTCTGTTGGGAGGTGTCTGTCCTAAACCCATAAATTTACACTTGTGAAAATACTTTTTCATTGTTTTTATGACTGTTTTTTTCTTTTACAGCTAAGCTGAAAGATTTCAATTTATCCCAAGTTAAATTTTTTAATAATAAAAAAAACACAACAACTTCATATGTCCCATGTTTTCATGTCACTATCGAAGCGCAGAGTTTTTGTATGTAGGCGGAGCCTTATTTTAGCCACGCCCCTGCAGGAAGTGAGGCTGCATCCCTGTCCCTCATGGCCACATGATGAGCAGTTAGATCACATTGTTTTGAAGTAAATGAGTCCCAAAGTCTGAAAATCAGTGTGGAACATTAAGAATTGTCAGTACCAAAACGCAGACCTTCTGCAATTAAGTAAAAGTAAGTGTTGCGCTGGTACGAGTAGATCAGACACAGCAGTGCTGCTGGAGTTTTTAAACACTGTGTCCACTCACTGTCCACTCTATTAGACACTCCTACCTTGTCAGTCCACCTTGTAGATGTAAAGTCAGAGACGATAGCTCATCTGCTGCTGCACAGTTTGTGTTGGTCATCCTCTGGTCCTTCATCAGTGGTCACAGGATGCTGCTGGCTGGATATTTTTGGTTGGTGGACTATTCTCAGTCCAGCAGCGACACTGAGGTGTTTAAAAACTCCAGCAGCACTGCTGTGTCTGATCCACTCGTACCAGCACAACACACACTAACACACCACCACGTCAGTGTTACTGCAGTGCTGAGAATGATCCACCACCCAAATAGTACCTGCTCTGTGAGGGTCCATGGGGGTCCTGACCACTGAAGAACAGGGTAAAAGGGGGCTAACAAAGTATCAGAGAAACAGATGGACTACAGTCTGTAACTGTAGAACTACAAAGTGCCCCTATACAGTAAGTGGAGCTGATAAAATGGACAATGAGCATAGAAACAAGGAGGTGGTCATAAATGTTATCGGTGTGTATATATATATATATATATATATATATATATATATATATATATATATATATATATATATATATATGACATATGGTAACAATTGATCAACATATAATAAAACATAAGGACAATAAACAAAGCAGCATGTTGGACTGTCTGCTTAGACGTTCTTCTCCCTTCTCTCTTCCACAGTCATTCACAGGGACACCTACACACTCCTGTGCTCTGATACAGATCAGAAGAGTACGTACAGACTGGACAGAGAAGAACTCCTTCACTCTGACCTCAGTAAGGGGACAGGAACGCTGACCATACCGCAGTTTGCAGATCTTTTGACCGATGAAGAAGCCAAAGACAATAGAGTTACTCTAATGGACAACTGCAAAAAACACTTGGCTGAATGTGTGACAGCTTACAAAAACCCTGCGGAGCCAAAGGGTAAGACATGAGCATCACTGCAACACAGTTATTCACAAGGGTAACGCAGACGCAGGATGATGCGGTGCAAACTGTTCAGCAACACTAATGAATAATGTATTAAAAGTCATATTTTGAGACAAAAGTTACAAGTTTAGCTATATGGTAACAGTTTTCAGTATCAGACAGTTTTATTAAAGTGAAATCCTTTTCTTTTTTGTGTGGTCAGAGATCCTTACTGGAGTTGAATATTTGGCCACATGGAAAAAAGCATCTGTGTATCACTTACTAAGGACGTGATGTTGACTTGTTTAAGAATGAAGTAGATAAATGTATACTTTCATTACAGAACCTAATATACAGTACAACATTCTGTCACAATACAAACAGTATAATTTAAAATGACCTTCTGTTATGTAAGGACTGGACATTGAACCTTTCTACATTCAGTACTGAGCAAAAGTCAGACATCATCCTTTTATTTATTTCATTTTCAATTGAAACCTTTAAGTACAAGCCAGATCCAGATCTGGCACCTCCCAGATTGGATCCAGCACCTTGTTTGCAGATTAACTCCAAAAAAAATAATAATAATTCACATAGTAACAAATAGTTGAACTAGACTCATAAATTGCAAGTATTTATTTAGGTTAAAAAAAATAGTTAATTTACTTGTCACCATCATTTTTTATCATGCCTTTCTACAAGAAAGCAAATGGATGTATTAAAATAGATAACTATATATTTCACTTTGTCATACTGTCTCCATTTGGTAATAATGAACCTGAGTTTTACGAGACCCAGTTGAAATGCCCTAAATGAACCCTAACTGTCGCCACACTCCTCTACTGTCACTCGTCTCATGTGATACAAAACATCCTGAAGACGCATGAAGGACAGGTGTGTAGCCATTGCCTGGCCTACCCAAAACAGGGCACAGATTTTTTAATGCTGATTCTTTTAATATAGTCATATTTGATTTGTTTTCTTTGAGAGCTGTCACTGCAATACAGCCAATCAAATTAGTATACATTCCACCAAGCTCCACCTTTCTCAACCCTCCAAATCACTGCACAGCAAGTGTTGCTATCCACCATTCAGCTCATTACCACCGCGCCAGTGTTGGCATTGCTAGTTTTCTGTCATCAGTTTTACTGCAAAAGCTAAAATCTAGTGTAATTTCAGTGAATCAAAGGTAAGACATGAATGGATTGTACACATTTTTGTGCCCTCCACTGCAATATGTTTTTGTCTTTGATCATAAGGTTTAGTTTTTTATGTCTGTTGTGTGATTTTTATTGTTTTTCCTCATTTTTATACACCTCAGCTGTCTGATTTTAACTGAACGCTAGTGATGCTGTCTGCATTGGACAAACATGCCTGTGGCTAAATTTATACAAAGAAGCAAAAGTAAAAGAAAGTAAATGGTTATAAGTTGCTATAACCATAAGTGTTTTATATTTGTGAGCTGTAGTTATGAGCACATGGCTCGTCATGCAGTATTGATTTATTTATGTATTTATTAATTTTTTGTGATGTCATGACTAAAACTTAAATGACGTTTATCTCTAGATGCCCCCCAAAGCTCAATCTACTCCAAGGACGATGTGAAGCTGGGCACCAATAACACCCTCATCTGTTACATTACTGGATTCTACCCACCAAAAATTGGAGTGTTGTGGAGCAGGAATGATGTCAAAGTAACTGGTGGAGTTAGTTTTAGTAGATTTTATCCAACCAGTGATGGAACCTACAACATGGTCTCTCGTCTGAGCTTCATTCCAGAGAAGGGCGACATCTACACCTGCACTGTGAAGCACGCAGCCCTGGACAGACCACTGACCAAAACATGGGGTGAGATTTATTCTTAGATGTTTGTAAGATTCCGGCACAAGAGTTCAGTCAGAAAAAGATGCCTGCAAATTATGTATGAAAGTTGCATTTGTGCAGCATGTACTTCAAAAAACATATCAATCATATGCATTTGAGGAATTGTGGGAGGGGCTGTTGGAAGTGGGGCTGGTTACATATTCTGAATTTACTAAGGTTTTAGGGGCAAATTTGGAATGAAGTGAAATTTCCTTTTGAAACCAGCTGTTAGTTTCCCAGCCAGGGCTATTGGACAATCCTCAACTCTGCGCCTTCAGTGTCTGAGAAATGTTACTTTATAAATACCCCTCAGGCTTCTACTGAAAAATACTGACCATCAAGATCATACACAACACGCAGAACTCTGAGTTCTAAAGTATTGAACTTCACCATTATCATTTCCCAAATTTGATATTTTTTTGTAGTATTCATCACTGTTTTGCCTCACATTTTAAACCCTGTGCCTCAAAACTGTACAGTTGTAGGCAGTCCTATGGGAAGCTTAGATAAATATCTACAGTCTTAGTGGACTGATACAAACTGCTCACGGACACTGAGGTCCAAAAGTCTGAGACCACGTTGAAAGCCAGAGATTTTGTCATTTAAACCTGGAAATATCCATCAGAAAACCTTAGAATTGGAATTTATTTTTTTTTTTGATCATATTCATTTCACTGCAGCGTGTGTTCAGGCGACTCTCAGGTGGATCTTATCTGCTCATCAAAATTGTTTGTTCATATCTTCTTAAAGTCTCCTTTAAAGCCACTTGAATATAATGTGATCCTCATATGCTTCATATCTAAATGCTCCGTTATCTTCATCACTACTTTCCAAAACCGCTGCAGCAACTTCAGCAGCTGTAAACTCTGCACGCCATTTCACATGAGTCTCCGATGTGGACTGAATGAAGAACGAAGGGTTTCCGGCGTGATGGTCAGTACTTAGTGATTTCCTGAGTGTCTATTGGTCAGTTTCACACAGAATGTAGATGGACATACGAATCCACCAGTTCTACGTAGTGAGAGGCAGATGACGTGTATCTCAGCCCCTCTTCATAGGCTCATAACTCTGGATGTGAGTCTCGTATGATCTCGTGATGAGATGGAATAGAAAGGGCGACTCTACAGATTCAGGAAATGTTTGAACCATATTTCTGTGCTGTATTTTCACAAAGAGAGAGAAACAGATATAGAAACATCGAATTTGATGCAACGGCAAATTCGTGGACCCCAGAGGGTTAAAGCAAAAGTACTGAGAAATTCTAAAATTCATGTGTGCAAAACATTGTGTGTGTTCCCACAGATGTGCAGGTGGCTCTGCCCAGAGTGGGTCCGACTGCGTTCTGTGTAGCAGGTCTGGCTGCAGGACTGCTGGGAGTCGTTGTTGGAACTTTCTTCCTTGTCAGAGGAAAAAACCCAACTGAGAATCTGACTGTAAACTTTACACAAAACTTATTACACTGTGTTCTTCAAAGGTGTGACTTCTTTCACTTTAAGTTAACCTCATTTGTGATGTTAATTGCACTGTCCTTTCTTTCTGTGGCCATCATTTACGTCTTCTTTTTCAGAACAAGTTTGTTCTATAATATAGGGCCTTATTTATTCAGGCCTTTACCAGTTAACTGAACACTTTCCAGGCAGGTGGTCCAGCTGGAAAAGCTGATCACACTTTATACAGGGAGATTCACTCGAAAGAGGCCCTGAATTTTCTGCTGTAACTCCCGTTAGGGTGAAGCAATCTGAACAAAAAAAAATTGCTACATACCTTGATGCATGTGTAATCGATTGCATTACATCCGATGCTGGAAGTGATCTCCATTTTCTGCCACATGAAGGGCATTGCACCCTGAAGCTGCAAACGGAAGTTAAACGTCACAATGGCTGTCCAGTGCCTACCTCATCGCTCCGATGCAGGGGCATCCCGGCTTGTTCGAAGCTGCATATACTGAGGAGCACGTTGCACGTTGGTTTGTTCAGATTCCTTCATCCTAGAGTGAGTTATTACAGAATATTCGGGCCTCTTTCGAGTGAATCTCCATATAGCTGAAATATGTTGTCAGTTTCAATACTAATCTAAAAGTGTAAAAGCACACAATACAAAATGAGAATTAAATGAAAAAAAGATTTTAAAAATGTAATAATTAAATTAAAAATTTGATTCTTCATGGGTTCTTTACGAAAGACAATGGTTCTATATAGTTCTATATAGAATTGGAGCTCCATATAGACCACTCAAAGAACCATTTGCATGATTAAATGGCCCTTTGCATGGTGAAATGGTTCTTCAGATAGATGGACAATGTGCTGTATGTGGTTCTAAATAACCTTTTTGAAAAGGGTTCTATATAGCACCAAAAACAGTTCTGCTATTGTTACGAGGTCAAACTTGTATACAATAGAGGAACCCCATTTGGTGTTATATAGAAACCTTTTGAAAAAGATTCCGTATAGAACCACATACAGCACAATCTCAAAAACCATTTCACCATGCAAAGAACCTTTCAATCGTGCAGAGGGTTCTTTGAGTGTTCATAGTTCTAAATAGAACCATGGTATTTACTAAAGAACCCTTAAAGGACCATCTTTAAGAGAGCAGAGAATGCTATGCTAGTCAGTGTGGAGGCAGTATGGCTGGTTAAAACTAGACCTGTGGATGAGGTAGCTATAAAATGGCTGTGTGAGTTGGATAACTCACTACGTACAATATTCATGATGTAGCGGTGCCCTGTATTTAAAGGTTTGTTTTATGCTCTTGTTCAGTGTCCTGTTGTCCTTCCTTACTCGCTTCCTTTGTCAGAACAAAAACTGACAACCTGGGCTCCTGAGTGGCGCAACCGTCTAAGCGTTGGCCCTATCATCAAGAGATCGCGAGTTCGATCCCTGGTGATGCTACAGCCGTCCGTAGCCGGGAGTCCGAGAGAGCACAATTGGCCTCGCTCTCTCTGGGTGGGTAGGATGGCCCCTCCTTCTCCCCCCATCACTCAGCGCGATGCTAGTCAGCGCAGGCGTCTGTTAGCTGACGTAACAGATCTGGCGGTTGGCGCTTTCCTCCGAGCGCGTTCGGCTGTCCAGTGACGTTGCGTGAGCGGCAGTTCGAAAAGAAGCGGTGGCTGGTTTCACAGATCTCGGAGGAAGCCTGTGTTAGCCTTCACCCTCCTAGCATTGATAGCATCGTGTGATTGGGGGAGTCCTAACTAGCGGGTGGAATTGGAGACGACTAAATTGGGGAGAAAATCGGGTAAAATTAAAAGAAAAATTAGAAAACTGACAACCTCACAGCACCACATATGCGGATCATGATGTTGTAAAGAAAAAGACAATATAGCATACAAAGTAAAATAAACTGAAACAAGCTAACATAAGAAATCTAAAATATACATCAGTATGTTAGTCAAGTAGGCAAAACTATAAAATTTCCTGGATGAAAACGAACTGTAGGATTAATAAACACTAAGATTTTACATTATATACGTACGAATTTACATTAAATAAGACCTAGAGTGTCACAGCATCTGGATACATGCCACAGTGGAAGAAAAGCAAAGTAAAGCTTCTGTGTGTTCTTGGGTTCAGTGAATCAGAGTTTAAAATGGGATCAGCCGAAAGGTCAGGGTGTAAAATTTCAACTCTGAAGTGAGTGACTGGAAGTCAGGAAGACCCCCAATTCACAGCCAAAGAACACTTGAGCTGCTTTAATGGGGTTTAGCTTGACTTTTAAGGGGTTTAGGCATGGGATGTGTCCCAATCTCTGTCACATCTGTTCCTCAATGCTGATTGGTTCTCCGTCCACATGGGTTGATCTTCCAATCTCGCCACCCCCGTCAGGCTTGTCGTGTGATAGTGGACATTTATATGTCCACATCATGCAACTAGTGTCATTCCAATGTTTCAGACCTGATTTTAACTTCAATTTGAGATGAAACAGCCCATTTTGTATTTCACATACCCATCAGGAAAAACAGTCTTTTTGTGAAATTGGGACTTTCATGTGTTCCTCACATATCTGCTTTGAGCTGCTGGGTTGAAACCCTTAGCAAGTAAGTGAAGGATGTCACACACGCTGTTTCTTGAGTGATACTGTTGCATCGATCATGTATGGCTCAGTGATGGACAGTAACTAAGTAAATGTAATTGGTTAGGGTACTTAAGTAATTTTTCATGTATCTGTACTTTACTGAAGTGTTTCCATTCTGGGTGACTTTTTACTTTCACTCCTCTACATTTCAAAGTCAAATATCTCACTTTTTACTCCACTACATTATGAGAAATCTGTCGTTCCTTTTGGTTTATGTGTGTATAAAAACGTAACATGTCAAAACAAAAGAAGCGCAAAGCAGGAACACCAATCAGGTCACAGCGCGCACTTTGTTTTGAGCTTGTTTTGACCTGTTGGTCATTCCGACCCAGTGCAGCACACGGTTCAACATCAGTGCAGCAGCAGCGTAAAATTCTGGGAGTGTCTATTCAACATAAATGATGAACTAACCTAACTTTGTGTAAACAGACCACAATAAAGAAATATGTACACATATGCAGTTGTGACTGACGTGTCTTTATTCTGAATTTATACAAACACTTTCATTTTATAGTAAATTAATTTTGTCTAGTTTATGTTTATGAACAGAGACCTACAGATGCAGTTTAGTAAAGGAAACTCATTTGTGAATCTGAGTTTAAAGTTTTTATTAAACTTAAACTGAAACTTTGCTTGTTTGTAAAAAGTGATTTCAGAGCCACTCAGTTCTACCTGATGGAAACTGTTTGCCTTCAGTGTTTTGTGCTGATGATAATTTTAATAGACATCAGCGTCACTAATTAATGACATTCTATTAAAAGACTGGTTTACCAAGAGAGACACTGGAGTATTTTCACCTAAAATGAGTTAATGAAGCGAGTCTTGTTATAAAAATGATAACAGGACATCAGAGCCATAATTAATCTTTTAGTACTTTCACTTTTGATACTTAAGTACATTTGAAGGCAAATACTTTTGTACTTTTACTCAAGTGGAGGTCTAAAGGGAGGAACTTCTACTTTTACTGCAGTAATATGTTACCTTGGGTATCTCTACTTTAACTCAAGTACATGGTTTGTGTACTTCGTCCACCACTGATATGGCTTTGGTCTGCAATTGTTACTGTGAGTTGAGATAAGACAGACCCTCTTTATGATGCTTTTAGAAGAATGCCTTGATGCCCATAATGCCTTCATCCCTTTGGGTCATAAACCTTGTAAAGTTTGGTTTACGGGTAAATCTGGTCAACATCAGATATTAGAGATGATGTACTGTGGCCAGGCATTTTACAGCTTGTCTTTCCTACAATTTGAAACGGAAATCATATTTTTTCTTAAGCAGTCATTTCTGTATCAGGACAGTTATTACATAAAATAAGACTAATTAATATGGTTGTTCTGTAAAATCCAATGATGTGCACAGTGACAGTTAATTACTTCAGGAAAGAAACACCTCCAGAACCAAGTTACCACGTGACCAACAAGCTCTACACTGTCTTGGTTATATTGTGCAACAAAGCCAAACTCCCTTCAGGTTGACAACCTTAAATCAGGGTCACTATTTTAAAAATAAATCTGTTGGAAAATATATGTTTGTCTTTTTTTAAGTTACCATAAACATACAATAAAATACTAATATATCATTTTTATATATTAGTATTTTATTGCAGTGTTGTCATTTATTTATTGTAATTATAACATTTATGTCATTAATATCACTTTAAGGGCACTTTCAGAAATCTAGAAATGTTTACACAGATATAGACCAGTTCAAAGACTCCTCGTTCACAGATGTAGAGGAACACGCTCAAAAGCCTGTAAGTTAGTGGCACAATTTAGACGCAAATTCTGCTTATGATGTCTCTGCCTTCTCTTCCCTTCGTCTTATGGCACAAGTTGTCCAATAAGTCTCTAAAAACTCCTCAGAAGCACACGATGTACACATGGCGCAACACGTGCAAGGTAATGCAAGGTATGCGTGTCATGTCGGGTCAAATCAAGTCAAATCAAGTCAAAGTTTATTTATATAGCGCTTTTTACAATAAGTGTCTTCACAAAGCAGCTTTACAGAAAAAAAACGGGTCCAAGCCCCCATGAGCGTCACCAATGGCGACAGCGGCAAGGAAAAACTCCCTCAGAGGAAGAGGAAAAAACCTTGGGAGGAACCAAGACTCAAAAGGGGAACCCATCCTCCTCTGGTCAACACCGGATAGCAAACATGCTGTGCAAGGCCTACATTACATCTTCATAGAGAATGAGCAAAGGAAATCACACAGTGCACAGATGTTCTGCTGGACGAGACATGGAAGTGACGGTGTTGGCATATTTTTTTGCCATAATTTTTTGGCCTAGCATAGGTTAGCCAGTCAGCTGCTCCCTCAGAGTGGAGGATGGGTGTGAAAAACGAAGGTCTCGGCAAGTTTCGAGAGGCATGTTTGACAATTGATTTTAGTTCATTTGAAAAGAAATGAAGTTCTCTTCGGTGTGTGCTGATGAGAGATTTCCACACAGGCTAGGTAGGGCAGCTTTTCTTTGCTCACTGTTTTATGGCTAACCGTCTCACTGTGCTTAACTGGGGTGGCCAAAAGGGCGGCCTTGGTTCATGGCCCTTGGCTACACACCTGTCACCATTAGTTTGAGAAAAGAAAATGAGAGTAATAAAAGTCCTACCTTGAAGTTAAAAATAGCCATGCTGCTTGGCTCTACTCTCTACATTCCAATTACATCAGGAAGGGAAACATTGATAATTCCAGCTTGCACTGATGTCATGAACATTGGCTGGGACTTCAGGGATTTTGCCCTGGGACTTCAAAGTTTTTGCCCTCAGGACGGTCCCAACTTGGCAAAATCAGGAGGAGAGAGGTGGTTTATGACTGTAGGCATTCCTTTGGTTGAATTATTTTGATATTAGGCTTTCATAGCTCTTGATCTGTCTGAAGCGTGTTCATAAGCATGCCTTGTAACATGATGAAGTGGTTCATCAGGTTCTCATCAGTAATTACTCTAAAGAATCTGTAAGAACTGAAACTCACTCTCTCAAACTCTCTCAGTTGTGATGCAGAGCAAGATGTTCTTGAGTCTGCTGGTCCTACTCGCTCTGTCAATAAGAACAGGTATGTTTATATTTCTAATGATTGCATGAATTGAACAGTGTGTTTGTGACTGTGTTTTGACTCATATAGGTATTACTGTTACTATGATAATTGTTTTCCCTAACTAATAAACATTTTGTTTCTCTGACAAATATTATAGCTGGATATTACATGTCTGTGACAGCTGAATGCACCGCCAGTTCATCTGATCTGTCTGACGTGGAGTTGATTTATACCCATTATTGTAATAAGGATCTCTACATGCAGTTTAACAGCAGTGTGGGGAGGTTTGTCGGCTTCAGTGAGTTTGGAGTGAACATGGCTGAGATCTGGAACAACAGTTCTTTACTGCAGGAGTTACAGGCTGAGCTGGATGGATACTGTAAACCCAATATACAGGAAGACAGCTTTGATGCTCTGGATAAAACAGGTGAGCTGCACATACAGTGGACACTGATCAACGTCTTAAAATCCCAGGTTTATTACATACTAAGGCTTATTATTCAGTAAATACAGGGACATTGCAAACCGGCTGAGCAGTGTATTAAGTTTGGACCCTCTGGCAGGCCTTGGCCATGTTAGAGGTTAAATGAAGACCTGTGTTGCACAACAGTTCATGTCTACAAACATCACAGTGAATTACTGAGGTGTATAATCTAAAAGTGACATATCTTTTTGGTTTATGCTTAAAATATGTATCTCTTTAGTCGTAGATCTTTTCGCAGTAGCCACAGTTGGAAATGTTTCTAAAATAAATGCGAGAAGTACTTAGACAAAGTGATAGTTGCCTCATTTGGAGCATTACAGTGCTATATAAAAACAAAAGTATTATGCATTTAGTATTTACTTTAATATTTGATGTTAGATATTTAGTATTTACTTTAGCTATTTCATATATATTAATGGTCAAATCTCACTTTCTGCTGTTGTTTGCCATCCGGAGTCGATCAGAGGAGGATGGGTTCCTCTCATGGTTTCTTCCTCTCACTCTTAGGGAGTTTTTCCTTTGCCACTGTCGCCGTTGGCGACGCTCATGGGGGCCCGGATTTTCTTTTCTGTAAAGCTGTTTTGTGACAACATCTGTTGTAAAAAGAGCTACATAAATAAACTTTGACATGATCTGACTTCATATATGCTCTAATATGAACCCACAGCTGCCTGAGAAACTTCAATTTTACCACATTATGTAGTACAACATGTGAAAATGTACGCAAACAGAGCAAATCTGTCTATGCAGCTTTTGACAGCAATTGCTTAAACATTCATCCACACCATCACATGGTTAAAAGAACAATCACAACAGCGTAGAACTGTTTGGTAATCAGACTATGAACTGATCGTCACTTTACAGCAGTTGCTGCATTGAAAACACTCATTAAGATAACAAAGAGTAACTGAATATCTATTAATTATAATGTTACAGGATGAACTAGTACTGAAACACAAAACATCACTGTGACTAGAAAACCAAATGTGTTTTTGTGGTGGAACAACGTGTTAAAAGTTGTTTTCTTTTATGATCTGTAGGAAAAGAAAAAAATACAAAGCAAATTAACAAAAAGCTAACACCTGGGAAGTTCCATCCCCATCACTACAATACTTTCCCAATGCACTTGCAAATAACAATTACTGTAAAATCCATGGGTGGTGGATCATTCTCAGCACTGCAGTGACTGACGTGTTGCGCTGGTGCGAGTGGATCAGACACAGCAGTGCTGCTGGAGTTTTTAAACACTGTCCACTCACTGACTCACCGTCCTGACCATTGATGAATGGGGTAAAGGCAGGATAAAGTATGCAGAGAAACAGATGAGCTACCATCTGTTGTAGAACCTCAATGTGCTACTATATGCTAAGAGGAGCTTGGTCCTTATCATCTCCCAGTACTATGATTTACATTAATGTTAATCTGATACTTCAACATACTGCTTATTTTCTAAATCATTGTATGAACACATTAACAATATCTCTCCGTTTGTAGTGCTCCCGAAAATCCATCTCAGGTCAGAACAGGAAGCCGTTGCCGGTCATCCAGCCATGCTGATGTGCAGCGCCTACAACTTCTACCCCCCAGCCATCGATGTGTACTGGCTGAGAGATGGCAAAAAGGTGACCACTGAATCAGTTTTCATTGAGGAGATGGCTGATGGAGACTGGTACTACCAGATCCACTCCCACCTGGAGTACACGCCCACATCTGGAGAGAAGATCTCCTGTGTGGTGGAGCACACCAGCTCTAAGGAGCCCATCATCATTGACTGGGGTGAGAATAAACACACATTACAGACCTTACAGCTTGTTTACACTGAGCCAGTTCCTGAGTCTTGAGCTGATTGGAGTGTAATAGTAAGGGTGGGTTATAAAAAGGCCAGTCTGAACGCAGCCGCTCAGTGTAGACGGGTTGCTCTCTGATGACTCGGACATCTCATGAGACGCATGTGAGATGCAGATGAGTAAAGTGTGAATAGTTCTGTTTCTTTAAGCCTCATTCTGAATTATAATCCCCCCCAAAACAAAACTGTACTAACAGTTACCTTTAGTTCTGCCAGAAAGACTCGAGGCAAGAGTGAAGGACAATATTTTATATCCTTAATGGAAATTTACAAGTTGAAAGACAATAATTCAGTAGAAATTACAGTCTTTGGCGTAGGCCCCGTCCTCGGTCCAGGTCTTGGAGCGTCAAGACCCCCCGCTGATCCTGCTGGAGAGAGAAAGCAGGGGCGGAGCGAGGGGAACGTCAGGGGCGGAACGAGGGGAACGTCAAAAAATAGGCACCTGAAAGCAGCAGAATAGGTACATAAGTCGAGTCATTTTAAAGACCAGTGTAGGGCTGTGATTGGTCAGGAGTACCGAATGAATGAACGACACAGCATTAGAGTCGTTCTGGCAGAACTTTTGCTAAACCTTCCATTTCCTACAAAATCCACAGCATCACTTACTCTTAAAGATAAACATGCCACAAAGGGTTCTTTGAAGTGATACCATGGAAGGACCACTTTCGTCAGAGATGTGAGAGCGTGAAGAACCTTTTTCAGGAGCAAATTATCTCCACATAATGTAAAGGTTCTATGCCATGTTCTAAGTGACCAGGACATTACATCCAGGCCAAGAACAGCTGAGGAAGGTGTATTTTTAAGAGAGTAAGATGAAATATCTGACATCATCATCATCATCATCATCAGTCTCAGGAGATTCCCTAAGAGAATTCTTTGGATTTACATAACATGGGAAAGCAGCTAATCTGTATCTGAAAGGCCCATCTAAACATCATATCTGGGCACCAAATATGAGACCCTTAAATAAAAATGGACTCAGTGTAATCATTTAAATGATGCATCAAGACTAAATATGAAATTATCATAAAGTTGTGAAAACAGCTTCATATTTTTTAATGATAAAAAAATAAACACAATAATAATAACGGGTTTATAATGAACCGTTTGTGCCGCAGATCCTTCCCTTCCTGATTATGAAAAGATCAAGATCGGCATCGGTGCTTTCGGGCTGCTTCTGGGTTTTGTCCAGGCAGCTGTTGGATTCATCTACTACAAGAGGAGCTCCTCAGGTCAGTGGAAGGAAGAGAGGGTTCAATTATTATTGATGTATTAGTGTATCTATGTGATTTAATGATGCGTGTACCAGTGTTAGATGATGGTAATGAAGGCTTTCGTCAGTGTGTGAACATATCAGGATTTAATGTAATTATTAAGCAAGTTGATCTCACTGTTCCAGAACACTCTACTCTCTTATCCCAGTTACCTGGGATTTGCTTGTAGCTCCATCATGTCATCATCTTGTCCACCTGTGTCTTGTTAGCTTTGCTGTGTAAGTAGCCTCTTGTATTTGCCTGTGTCTTTGACAGATTTCTCCTCTCAGGCTTACAATCTTTAACCTACAGACCTCATTTGGGACAGTTTCATGTTAAAAATCTGAAACTTTATACTTCTAAGCTGATACTCAGTGACTCATGTGGGAATATCCAATCCTATCTTTGCCACTGTTCTTAATAACTTACGGACTTGACAATTTAGCGCTTTTTTCTAGGTATCACAGAAATCTTTGATTCATTATTGAATAAGAATTGATTCCTGACTCCACTGCACACCACATGTTCCACACAGCCTTGTGTAAAATATATGTAGCATGTATAGAATATATAGTGAGAACATTAATGAATGTCAAGCTCAAGTTTATTTTACACCCTACTTGTATAAACTGAATGGAATAAAATGATTATTAAATGGATTTATCACATTTGTTTTCAGCTAATTAACTCTCCACAAACTTGCTGTTTTTAACTGAAAGACCCAAAAAGACTAGCCAGCAATGCAGCTGAGGTAAAAGAACATTAAGATAAACAGACAAATGCTAAAGACTTTAGAATGACTGCCTTTCTCAGACTAAACGTCAAGCCACGTCACTTTGTGGACTCATTCTGGGGTTAACTGTGGAGAGAAACTGAGGAATTGAGCAGTTGTCACGCATCCCTCTGGCTATGAGACACACTCAGACTCGATCTACCAGAATCCTCTGGGGGATCACCTGACCCAAGTGACTCCTGACCTTCGGAGTACTAATTCTGTTCACCTGTCTTGTGTGTCATATATCATAGTAGTGTAGTCTTTAGCGTAGTCTAGTTGTGAGGTAATGCATCTATTCAGATCTGCTGAGTGTTTTATTGTTTGATATTCCTGTTTACGACTGTTTTCCCTGTTTTTTTTTGACTCTGCCTTTTTGCCTGACCCTTTTAGATTGTTTGCCTTTTATGTTTGTATTTTTGTGCTGGCTGTCTTTTCTCGATTTGACCCACACTTGTTTTTTGACCACAACCCTGGATTTCGATTTTATCAGTAAAGCCTCTTTTTCTCTTTTTAACTGTGAGCGTCTGAATCTTTCTGGCACATTACAGCAGTTCTGGAAGTCAGCAAGTGTTGATGTGCATCAGCACCAAACAGCAACGGCTGCAAAAAAACAAAGGTTGTGAATTGTTGGATGTGAGTCCACTGTGCTGTGGCCTTTAGATAAACACGCTTCCACATACTACACTTCAGACCGGAAGGGTTTACTACATAACTACTAAACCAGCAGAACCTTTAATATACATTACAACAATGTCTGTGATAACCTTTGAAAAAACGCTTCTTCAAAGCTATAACAAGATAGGATGCATGGAAAGACTAGCATAACACTCATAACTAGGCAATGCCATATGTAAACATTACACCAAATCCATTATGCGTGTATTATTTTATCAGCTCACTTTTAAAAGCAAGAAAAGTGCTTTTAAGTTGGGTTAAACTGCTTTGTGTGTCTGGAATGGTTTATGAAGACACTTTCATGAGACATGTGGCTGTTTGACAAAGTAGCTGTAGTTTTCTGCCATGGGAATAACTAAGTTTACACAATTAAAAATAAACGGGTTGTCACAGGACGGTCCCAAGCGCAGAGGGGAAAACCTGTGAGGATGGGTCTCAAAACTGATAAGTAAAAGTAACAAAAAATACACTTATTCACTTTCATGGTGGTTGTATAGTGTGACCAGGTGTAACAAATAGTACGACCGTGTTTTAGGGCCACTGTTAATGAAAATAAAAATAGTAGACTTTGAGAATAAAGTCATAATATTTCGAGAAACAAAGTCGTAGAATTATCAAAGTGACATTAATACCAGGAAAGGTCGCGATATTGTGGCCAAAGGCTTTGCAAAAGGAAGGCAGCACCTCCTCGTGTTAAATGAGGGTCATCATATCGATTCACCCATAAAGAAACAGTCAGTCTCCCTGTCTCTCCTGCACATCAGCACCAGCCTGTTATTAGTATAAGAACCGGCTGAAACGGCTGAGCAGGAAACTGTGTTTATCTAGAATAAAGAGCCAGACAGACTCGGAGGAAACTGTCTGTCTGTGTTGTTGAAGGAGAATCTCAGGCAGGGTCGTCTACACGGCTATCGGGGGCTCCATCTCCCCCCATTCAAAGAGGGCATGAAGTTTCACAGACAGTGAGAATGATGATCAAAATGATCCACAGAGAGACAGGAGTGAGTGGAGCTCCGGTGCCAGTACAGCAACCGAGACCCCAACGCGTTAAGGCAGCCCCCCCACAGTTAGCCCCCCTACAGTTAGCCCACTTTATCCTCTAAATAGTATTTTATTCTCAAAGTCTACTGTTTTTATTTTTATTAACTACATCGCTGTCGTACAAATAGTAATTAGGAGATAGTGAGTGTGTTGTGTATCGTTGAAGGGGAGTGACTCCCAGCACTGGGGAGCACAGGTGATGAGAGCCCTCTGACTGGTGGGGGGGGTGGTGGGAAAATCAAACAAAGAAAATGCTCAAAATGGCATAATAAACAAAGGATAAATTCAAGAAACCAAATAAACAACCAAACCAAAACACATCTCAAAGGAGAGATGAGGAGCTGGCTATATTTCAGACTTTGTCTTAAATCAACACAATGTTTTCTTTTTCCTTCTTTCCCTTTTCTCGTTTCTTCTCAGTCTGCTGACCTAGAGCAGTGCTGTTTTCTCCTATTTGTTTGTTTGTTTGTTTGTTTTTTCTCTTTTTACACTGTTTCATCTCTTTCATTTTGTCTAAATACCCACCTGGCCTAAGTACCACACCAGTCACCCCTCTACAAAGGTGTGACAGGGGTGTGCTCTCTGCCACAGACCTTAAATGCCGGGTACCAACAGGTGCACCTGGTTTGCACTGATTACCCCTTGGTATTCTGGGATTTTGAGTCTCCCTGGAGTAACAGTGCCTCACTGCCTTCGCCCTCTGCTGGCAGCCGGCAGCACAGGCTGACCCTTCACAGTTTTGGGGAGACAGTGAACAGTGTCCACATGTGTTGTCACATAAGCTATATAAGTAACAGAATGACATTGCAGTATGAGATGAGTAATAATATGAATTGTATGAATACAATAAAATTAATAGAGCTTCTAACTGCACATCTGTGTGTAGTAACTTTTTGTGTGTTTATTAACACATTAATTCCTGAAAAATTGACACACTGAGAAAAGTCTGCATTTATCTTCATACATTAATACATGCCTGAGTTAATGCTGAGTAATTTAATCATGTGTTTGTTTATATATTGTAGTAATTTGCTCCAGCTTAGTGACTCATTGCTTTATGAATAATTATTCATTCCTGTCAGTTCAGGTATTCTTGCCATAAAGTGTTCCCTGGTTTTCTTGTAATACTCGGTGATAAATTATTACAGTTAAAAATCCTAAACATTTCATGTTTCTATGAATTCTTGCAGGTTCTTGGGTTCTCCTGTAATTGCAGGTGTTGAGCACTGGAGTCTACAGTGAGGCTGTTTCATCTGAAAGAATCCTTATCAAACGCAAACGTCATTATTTACACTTTAATTTGATTGAGAAGCCATTTATAGATCATTATTACTCAAATCTTAAATATTATGTACATTAAAATAATCAAGACCAGGCTGAGTATGAGAATACCAAAGAATTAACATGGAATATGAAGAGGGTGAATCTGATTTCCGACTGCTCAATAAAAAATCCTCCAACACAGAGGAAAATGTTACAAGTTGTAATTGTTGTTTTTTAATACAGGAAAATTTGAAGTTTTGGGTGGTAGTGCTAGTTTTCTATGTCATCATGGCAATGTTTACATACATGGCTACGTGCAGTTATTGCTCACGTTTTATCACTGCAATAAGGCACGGAACTGTGCTACACGTGAACAGCATAACCCTGCTCTTCTGGTTCTCCAGCATTGTTTGAAATTGGCTGAGCTGAGCTAATTCCTAGTATAGGCTCTGACTTATCCAGCTGTAGTGAGCTCAGTAAGAAATAAGGCTGTAAAGACAATAAAGTCCATCCCAAAATTAAGTTAATAAAAATAAAGCCCCAGACGTCTCCTTCCACTGCTGCACAGGGTAAGCCTTTACCCACTGTGGGGTGTGGTCAGTGGTCAGTCTGTTATAGTAAAATAGTGCAGTTGCCCATTTTTTCAAAATAGACTATTTTTTCAAACATTTTTTATTCCGAAAACCTTGGATGCAGAGACATAGTGGAGTATATGAGCGTAGAAATTTTGTCAGTAATCCAATCAACATGTTTACATGTACTTCAGTAATCAGATAATGGGGAAACTCTGGGTCTACATGAGTCAGACCGTAATCGGATTCCTGCTTTACAACCAGCCAATAACTCACAGAAGAAGACGCGACGTAAACGTAACGTAAGACTCAAACTTCATGCTGCGACTTTTTATTTTTTAAGAAAACATCATCACTTTACCTAAAAATATGAACATACATCATCTAGAATATTTAAAACTCTCATTTTGTCAAGAACGTATTTGGTTCCAGCGTCGTTCCAAAAGAGTTTTGCTGCGTCTCGCGGCGACGCTGCTCACTTTTTTCCGGTACCGCCGTCTGTTTTCACACATGCTCAGACTGGAAAATCCGAAAGAAATCAGAGTAAGAGTTCACATGCACTGAGAAATCTGATTACTGAACTAAAATCCAGCCACTTTTTCAGATTTGTTCATCGGATTTCTAAACCTTACTCTGAATGCTGTTTACACGACCCATTTGAATATTCAGATTACTGCAGAAATCTGATTATGATTGGATTATTGAGTGCATGTAAATTAACTCATTGTTCTGAAATGTGTAGAAGATTATTGTCTAAATATTTTGCAAAATAGTTTTACTTTGATAACTGGAGAAAAGATACAGGAAAGTGAGCATAGAGAACCAGTATTTGTATGATAGGATAGAAAAAGCTTTGACTGGTCTCCATGTTAATAAGAACAAAGTAAAGCAGGCTGCCTTTCACTCATGAGGTCCCTTTCAGAAACAGGTTTACTGAACCTCTGTATAAACATCCTTCTCGTAACAGTAGATCTAAAGACTCGCCTCTTCAAAGCCGTGCAGGTTTGACAGCGTTTAAGTTCTCAGGAGTTGACAGGACTTGTCCAAACCAGTTCTATCTGACGCTTCTCACATTGTACCACACACATGATAGATTTTCCCACACTGAAGCACCTCATTGCTTTCATTCCTCTAATAGTATTCAGTGCTGAAGTCGGTGCTCAGTTCAGTGATTAGCAGAGAGTTGAAACAGATTTTGTTGAGAAGGAGCCATCAGTGTTGTTGTCACTAAACAGAGCTTCCCAATCTGAGGCCTGAAG